GTGAATACATCTTCCCTCATATGGAGACACCACCAAATAATAATGTAGATAAGATGTGTTTGTGAAACACTGATGTCCCAGTATGGAAGCCTATGGCGAAGGTTGAAGTTTCTCAAATATATGTCAAACTCAAAGGTCAAGGGTTCAAATTGTTAGTGTCAGAAGAAAGTCTATGTTAAATAAAGAAATCTCTAGTAATTCCTTTTCAAAAGTTAATTGCCAAGGTTAATTTTTTTTTAAGTGGTTCAAACTCTAGGGTCAAGGTCAAACATATTTCCTGTTGACAGTTCAAAATGAATACAATATGTCATGATAAGTATGAAAGCCCTAGCACCTACTGATCAAAAATTAGGCAGAGTTTAAAGCTTGGTATTTTTCTTGTAAAAATGTGTATCCCATGTCAAGCGATCAGAGGTAAAAATTGATGGTACCCAAATAAAAGGTACGTCTTATTAAATTGTCACAAGAAATAAACCTATAAAATGTGGAAGCTATATGTATAGCCCATCCCACTTAAAACTTATGGGCAAGCTAGCTAGGATTTAATTTTTGCAGACTTATAGACAGACATACTATAAACACAAGAAACAAAATATGTACATGTATAATAATTAGTCAAATGGAAAAAAAATATACTATTAAACTGGAATCACAAAATAGATTGTTATTTCAGGGACAGGAAGTGGATAGGAAGATTGGAATCCCCCCCCTCCATCCCCCCCCCCCATCTGACATTTGCTTTGTTATTTAAACAAGACTATATACTGTAGCAAGTAAAAAATGACTCTTGACATCCTCTCCCTATAAACTTAGAAAACATTGACCTCCCTATCATTGCTTTTTTATTTGTTTATTTGTTTTCATTTTTTTTCTCCTGCTTGTCACGAAATTCTGGGCTGGAATTTTTTGACTTAGATGTGAACCCCCCTCCCTACTCCCTAAAAAAATTCTGGATCCGCACCAGTATTGGCAGTAAGTGAATGTCACATCGACAATGGGAGATAACTTCACAATATGAAATTCGTCTAGTGTGGCATGGGATGATCTTTGACCCTTTTTAAACTTTAACCTAATCATTGACTTCTACTTACCGACTCCCTGTGTCTCGTAAACTTCATGAAATATAAATCCAATTATAACACAAAATGAATTAATCCAATGCACACCAGACTGCAACCATGTGCCATTTTGGCGAACTTTCGTCGATTCCGTCACCTTATCAGATGAAGTGGGAATCGGCCGAGGTGTGCCAAATGGTGTTTAATCTATAAATATCATAATGGGTGACGCAACGTGATGTAATGTAGAAATTTACATGTTCACATGTATAGTACAAGAACAAATTTTAAATTAATTCATTACAAACGATATTAAATTTTAACAAACCTTTTCCATCTAGCCTATTCCAAAAAGTATGTGCTGTGTGATTGTGGCGTCGAGGGGGGGGGGGGGGGGGGGGGGGGGTAAATTTAAAAAGGTCCTATTATGAGCAAAACATATATAATTTCAGACGCGGATCCAGAATTTTTTTCCGGTGGGGGGGGGGGGGGGGGAGGTCCACCTCAGTCAAAAAAAATCCTATCCCAGAAATTGACAATCAAAAAAAAACCTAAAGTAAATCTCACCCAAACGTCAAAAACCTATATCGTGGAGGTGGGTAAGGGGTAGTGGTGACTTCTATTGCCGCAAATGTTTAACTTTTCATACCTATTTTACACATATTCGTGTTTACCAGGGGGGGGGATCTGCATTTTCAAAGGGGGGTCCATTGTAACTTTTTCCTTGTTTTAGTGTATACATTTTTTAACCTTGTAAATTCCAAGGGGGGGGGGCTGACCCCCCCTCCCCCCCCCCCCCTGACAGATCCGTGCATGAATTTACATCATTAATAAAATTCAGACTTGTATATAATGAATTAAGCATGTATAAAATAAATATAAGAGGTTCTGAGTTATAGGTCACAGGGTCTGAGAATTTCATAATCAATTTGATTAATACATGTAAATTATAGAATTATTTTGACTATTTCCTTTGAAAGCCGCCCAATATGTAGGAGCGTGTATTTAGAGGCAAACACCTTAGTGCGGGTATTACTGTCTCATGACAGCATCTAGTTTAAATAGGGATGTTTATGTTTTTAAACAAAATGTTAGTAATGCGCAGCGCTATGTAAATGCATGAATGAATAAATGAATGAGTGAATGAAATTCCTGAAATAAAATAAATATAGCATTAATTAAAATAAAATAAAACTAAGTACAACTACCACATTATCATCTCAGAGATATATATTTATTTGAATCATGAGTATTGTACTATATATAGTACAGTTTATAGTATTTCTTATTAGATATGTAAGCTGAAGCATCCAGTAGTTTTTGGTGTTTTAAGGAATGGGCCTTGTCCCATAGATAGGTAATTAGCATATGTTACCTTTTGTATATTTTAAAGTAATAATATTATATCATTGCATTAATTGAAATGTGATTGTAAAATATGTGTATAAAGATTAACTATACAGTGATTTATTTTTATGCTAAATATTTAAATTAAGAGAGATAACTCTTAACTGTTAAATTTATCTTTTGTACATCAAAATAAGTAAAATAGAATGCATGTATACATTTGTTATTATTTCATGTGATATTCATTGTTATTGTTTTATTTTATAGGGCCATTCATTTACTTGATGAACATCCATATTAAACATATATGAACCCTTAGACAGGAGTTTGGTTGTTATTACATCCTATATAAACCACCCCTGCAACATATAAATAAAATTAAGATTGGAATTATACTGAAAACAAAATAAAACAACACTCATTTAACGACGACGGACCTAATTCATTTCTACAATAGAAAATTTACTCAAATTTTAATATGAGGTAATGTGACTTTTTGTGAGTTTAAATCGATGAAAAAAATATATGGTCATCGATATGGATTTTTAATAGGGAACCTTTCAAACGTAGGCAACGGAAATCGATCATTAATGTAGGAAGTAATATGAAATTGCAAGTTTGTAGTATAAAAGTGATAATTAAAAAAAAATATTCTGCAATAGAATTTTTGTTCGTATTAAAAGACAATGTTAACAAGATAATTTACTAGAAATTATGCCAAAAAATAAATAGGTCATCGGCCTAGATTTTTAAGGGGGCGTGTTAGTTTCCGGTGAATGGCATATTTTGGGGGTAATTTTCATTGAAAATACCTTGGCAAAATAAATTGTGTCGTTTTATTTCCTTATTCTTCAATTTACTTTTACACTAAATAAAAATTATAATTTTAAGTTGTTTAAAACTATAGGATGGTGATAAAGTAGGATTTATGTGAAATAAATGCGTATTTAATATTCAAGGGTTGTCTCAAAGTACGATTTTTGTGACCCACGTCCCATGGGAATCAATATCTGAAAGCCTTAAAAATAAGCATAGATAGTAAAAGTTTAAGTATAAGGGACTGTTTCAAGATAGGTGTTTTTGATTTTTCGTTATATGCGTGCTTTACTGTATATGATCAAATAGTCAAATACTGATGCATTCATCACGAAAATAGTACAGAAAAACAAAAGGCTCATGGGCGACATTGCTCACCTTAGCACACTGGCTAAAGAAAAAAAAGCAAAAATCACTTCAGTATTGAGAGTTCACATTGGATGGGGGGGGGGGGGGGGGGGGGGGCTTGAATTTTAAACAACCTGATGATGCTTCCATATCAATATAACAACTGGCTTTGCTGTTATTGAGCAGATATTTTTTTTTTAATTTATTCATTTGACACCCCCTCACACATTATAGTCCAACCCTACCCCTGGGGCCCCCATTTGAACCAGTACATATATTTCTACCTAAGATTTTTATGCCCCCTTAAACGAAGTTTCGGGGGTTTATAGTTTTTGTCGTGTCCGTCCGTCTGTCTAGCTGTCTCTCTGTCCGCAAAACTTTAACCTTGCCCATAACTTTTGATTTATTGGAGCTAGGACTTTCATATTTCATATGTGTATTCCTTGTGACAAGACCTTTCTTTGGGTACCACCAAATTTGACCTTTTGACCTTGGAGTTTGACCCACTTTTACATGAAAACTTTAAAATTTTACTTTGGTCATATCTTTTGAACAGTAGACACCAGGACATTTATACTTCACATATGTAATGTTTGTTGAAAGACCTTTCATTGAAAACCAACACTCTTGACCCTTTGATCTTGACCTTGTAGATTTCTGTACTTGTGACAAAAACCTAACCTTGGCCACAACTTTTGAATAGTAAGGGATAAGGCTTTCATACTTCATATATGTAGGCCTAATCCTTGTGAGAAGACCCTTCAATGGATACCAAGAACTTTGACCTTTTGACCTTGACCTTTGAGATTGACCTACTTTAAAAAAGCAAACATTGACCATAACTTTTAAAGAGTTAGGGCTAGTGCTTTCATACTTTACAAATTTGATCCTTATGACATGAACTTTCATTTGATAACAAGAACTTTGACCCTTTGACCTTGGGAGTTTGACCTACTTTTTAAAAAATTGAACGTTGGAGATAACTTTTGAACGGTTAGGACTAGGGCTTTCATGCTCTACCTTTCATTTGATACTAATTACATTGACCTTTTGACCTTGGCCTTGAAGATTTTTGTACTTATTATAGAACTTTAACATTGGCTTACTTTCAAATTTCACAATTGTTTTCCAGTGAGAATACCCTACTCTTGGTACCAATTTTTTAAATTTGCATTTAAGAAAAAGCTTCATCTTTGCTATGTTGCCATACGGGGGCATCAGTGTCTCACAAACACATCTTGTTTCTTGGTATTTCTAGATAAAACTTTGATCCCCTATTGTGTCCCACCTTACCCCCCCCTCCCTACCCGAGCTGAAATATCTATCAATTTGTAATCTGGGAATGTTTTCGCAAAATTTGACAATAATGCACCTGTGTTATTTTACTCTGAGCCTAGGCTACTATAATTGTAAAAGTATAAGAACTTCACACACAGGTAAAATACTTTATTAATAAAGTATTTCACATTTCAGGACAAAATGATGACAGGTATGACAGATTTAACTATGGAATATCAGACAGTACCATTCGGTATCCAAAACATGTATTGATGAAATTTAATATACAAAAATATTTTACTTGTATAGGTTTGTTTATAATGATTTCACTCAGTCATTTTAAATAGCTACATGTATTAGCTTTTACCTTATATTCAAACTTTAATTTTTTTAACTATTTTTTTATGAGATATAACATATATACATGTGGGGTAAAACTAACCGTACACTAACTAGAGTTCCTAATTATTTCATCACATCTGTATATCTAAAAAATGATGTACATGCTGTTTACATGTAGAACAACACTGTAAACTTGCATTCTAATGCAATAGATTTGTAAAACACTTTTTGATTGGCTAATGCGCTCATGTTTGAAGCAGTAAAACGAGCATTAACGAGCGTGAAAGCTATTTCATTGTGACGTCATAATAGCGACGCAAAAACACAATGCTCCGTGACGTATTTCTTGTAACAAAATTCATCAAAATGAGACGTAAACAACCAAAAAAATGCATGTGTTGCATTAGAATGGGAATAACTAATCTGCTAATTTGGTATTTGCGACCGTTAATGCTGATTTAAGGGTCGCAAACATCCGTTTTACCGGTGACGCGTAACTCAGTTTGCGACCGTTAAATCAGCATTAACGGTCGCAAATACCAAATTAGAAGATAGTTATTCCCTAAATATTGTTACATATGAAAAGTATGTAAAAATTTTCCCAGTAGCTAATCATGTATTCTGGTGCTGTAAAGTTGGAGGTCTTTTGGTTGAGAGAGTAAAGGTTGGAACAGCAGATATTGGCACACTAAAGAACCCTCACTCCTCATTGCTCCCAAGTGTCATTCACTGCATCTTGTGACTTCTCATCAGGGTTAAATAATCTTGTAACAAGTGTTAAGCTACAACAATCAATCCATGCCTGCAAGGTGCATTTTTGGAAATGCTGGAAATTCAAGAAAAATTCCTGACGACCATATTGTTGTTTCTACCTGAAATACACAAAAAACTATGTGATATTCAGATAAATAAATAACACTCAATCAATATCAAGTGTACACAATTTTTAGCATTTTGTTAACAAAGGTAAAATTAAAAAAAAAAAAAAAAAAAACACCATGTGCCCAGAGGCAACAAAGATTTGAAAAGCTATTTTTAGCTTAAGGGTCACAGTCAAGGTCAAACTAAGGGTCATTTTTACCTTGATGTCTTTTGAAAACTTAATTAGTGGAGTATGCATACCAAATATGAAGTCTCTATCTGTTAAAAGTTATGGCTAAGGTTAAAGTTGTTATAACATCAAAACAATAAAATATGTTCAAACCAAAGCAAAGTTGACAACAGACAGACAAACAGATAAACAGACAAACAGACAGGACAAAAACAATATACGCCTCTGATCTATCGATTGGGGCACATAAAAAAATAAAAGAATAAACTGAAAGACTCAAAATAAAAATTAATATTCACACCCTAATAAAGCATATGATTAAATCAGCATTGTCAGTGTACAAAGAATAGGAGAATGACTTTTAACATTTATCTCCCTTTTGAAAAAGTCATGAGTGAAGTTTTCATTTTAAAAGACTTCAAAAACATACCTAAACAAGTCTTGGGTTTTTTCTTCAACAGCAGGTATTTCCTCAGTACAAGTATCTCAGTCTGCAGATTTTTTCTGTGGTAAAAAAAATAAAACTTTAAATTTTAAATGCAAAATACATTTGAGTATTGTGATCTACATACATGTACATGCATCTTGAATTTGTATAAAATAGTATTATCAGTGTGATTCAGTTTTAAGTTGTTAATTTTTTAAAGCCGTGTGTGCATGTACTGTAAAAGATGAAGGTAACTTATTATTATCTTTTTTGGAGGAAACAATTATGAATGATACACAACTAATAATTCAACAACTTTTTGCATTAAAACAAATGATTCAAGGGTTCAAATACTGTATAATTCCTATTAACCGCCCCGGATGCTTAGAAAATTGTAAAAAGTGGGCGGTTTTTTTGGTACTCTATTTATGATATTCAATGTCATATTTTAACTTTTAAAAAATCTTTTAAAAAAAATAAAATAAATACAAGGAACCAATAAAATAATGTCTAACTTTACTTAAAGTGAAGATAATACACCCAAATTATGCTAAATTATTCATTACCAGTGAAATATTGGTTAATAGATATTAAGTTTAATTTTCACTTTCTTCAATATTTTGATACGATTCTTGTTGATTTTAATTACTATACAGGGGGCCCTTATTTCCTGACAATTGAAGAAGACCTAAGGGGCGCTTATAGGGGCAGGGGCGGTTAATATGGATTATACAGTATATGACGTATAAGATAGCATACTGCCATACTTGATTCTAATTATTACATGTTGGTAACACAGGGGAATTACCAAGAACACACATGTAAAATCTTTTAAGAAGTTTGCTAGTTTAATTTCATTGCTATATAGGAAAATTTTATCAATGGTTGAATGAAGCTAGCACAAAATACATATATTTAAAAATAAAGTGATCAGCCTGTTTCAACATTGCTGGTACTTTACTTGATTCATCTCTAAGCAGGTAAATAGCCAGGTTTATCTGCATGGCTTTATATTTAAGCTTGGTTGAATATTCTTTGAGAATTAAGTATGCTTATAAATTAACTCGGCTACTCTAAAGGTATTTTGCTTAACATTTACAACCTATTGCAATTGCATCCAATATCTTTAACATTTTTACATAGACCTAAAGATGCATTAAAAGAAATATATTCAACAATAATAATAAAACATAATGATAAATGCAACATCTAGCCTAAAACAAAAAATCTAAATATGGTTACCTGTTCCAAATGAACAGGGATTGACATTAATGGTTGTCCGATTGCCCGGGACAAGTAAATCTTCAGTTCGGGCAAGTGAAACCATCGATGTACTTGTCCGATCGGGCAAGTGGATATTTTTGAAAGAAACATTTTTTTTTATCTTACATTGATTATAAACAAACCAATAAATTGAACAGTTGATTTCTGCCAAAAACGTGACATTGTTTTGCATTCAGAATCCCTCGGTAGCGTAAAACTTTATGGATCATACCTGTACCTGTATTTAGAAATCGGGTTTGTTATTCAGTTTCTTTCGTAGTTTACAAACAATTAGACTGGCTTGCCTGACAAATTCTTACAAAATATAATAATAGAATAGTTTATTTAATCACTTACAGAATATAAAGAACACCAGTTGTTCTCAATGTTTGATGAATCTTTATTCAAAACATGGTAACTGTTTTCCTTTTTGTGTGACCTCAATAGCGTGAGGGATGAGGATTAAATTTTCCAAAAAATTGTAAGGAAATATTATTAGTGCATTGCTGTGTGTGTTTACAAGATAGTAGATGACAGGAAAGTTGATACATATATTTACAAGAAACATTGACGCAAGCGTCAAAAATCGGCCGCAAACCAATTAATTGTTATAAAGTAATTAGAGATTGAAATTTGCGAGATATTTTAAAATTTGAAATGAAACACTTGCATGCAACATTACCGATTTTCTTCATGCATAATGCATATACCATATATGTATAAGCAAACTGTCCATAGACTTCTGCGTATCTGCACTCAGTTTGGTACATATAAACTGACTCTGGTAGAAGTTTGATGATTAAGTAGTTTTTACATAAAAGTACAAAACTAAAGTTTAAACTGAACTATAGTTTTAACTTTAATAAAATCGCAACAGATATGAAATATGTGTGGCTCCTCGCTCTCTTTAAGAGGATGTTAACACAACCCCCCCCCCCCTCCGAACTCCCTCTAGATCCACCACTACATTTCTTCTCTTTCAGTGTGTTGAAATGTGGCGGGAAAATGCTTGGCACATTGTAAAACGTGCATTATCCTAGTCTCCTAAACCAAAATGTTGTAAGATTCTGACTGTGCTTTTTAGAAATCAAGATTTCATCAAATTTTAGAAAAAAATTTCATAGAAAATGTTTAAATATACGTCATTTTAAAATAGATACAACAAATCCTGATTAGGCTAAATTTTTTAAAAGAAAGTAAAATTGTTGATGAATAAATCGGTCTTTGTTTAATAGACTATGCCTACATAACGTCTCCGCACTCCAATCATGTCAGAGTTTGGCAATCAGGATTGGATGAAACATTTACCCCATTATTTATAAAATTTTAATTTTATGATTATCGTGCTTTTTGTTAAACATTAAAAATATCTTTGCTTAATATTCTATGATATGAATGTTAAATATTTTTATTTAAATCGTTCTAACTCCGCAGAAACGCACGGCGACTTCAAACTTTCATATCAAGTAACCGACCGCCTCCTGGCGGCCGGTAACAAAATGTTGCATCATCGTCACATCAAAAAAAATTTTTTTTCCCCAGGCAGTTAAGTTTAAAACAGGAATTAATTTGTAACTCTTAAATATTTACAGTAACAAATTAGGATACGGTAACTGGTATTTTCTTCTTTAAAATTTTTGGGCAACCAAATTTTGGGTTCGGACAAGTCAAATTTGTAGTTCACTTGCCCAAAAGGACAAGTGAATATAAAATTTAATGTCTATCCCTAATGAAATACTGAATAGTGTTGATATCACATAAGAAATTTCAAGCTTTGGCAGCTGTTAGGTCCTTGCATTCCGGGCTCTTGTTTTCCAGGTCCAGGAAAATCACTATATTTAGCTATATAGGTAAACCCTCCTATATAGCTTTATTTACCAATATAATATAGCTATATTTAGCTATTTCAGAGTAAATTTCTGTTTTATGAAAGGCAGACAAAAAATCGCATAATGAGGCAGTATTAGTTTTCAACTTTGAAATGGACTGAAAACAATTCACCCAAAACCCACTTACAAAAATGTTTCTCCTATTGTGCTATTGCAATCAAAGATTTAAAAGTTTTGGGGCTTATAATGTATAACAGTTAATCTGTGAGTAAGCAGCTACTTTAACAAAGAAAAGCAGTGTTGGTCAACAAGATAATTGATTGGTAATAATTGAGCACAATGCAAGGCAATCACACTTAATGTTTTTACTGTCTATGCCCTAGGTTGTTTTCATCAAACCTTTAAAAAATATATCAGCCATAATTTACATGTGACTTTTTGTCTGCTTTTCATAAAACAGAAACTTATTCCAAAATAGCTAAATATAGCTATATTTTATAGGTAAATAAAGCTCTATAGGTAGATTTACCTATATAGCTAAATACAGTGATTTTCCTGGACCTGTTTTCTCCTTCATTTACAAACACTTTTATGTTCATTTAGCATCATGCATGTTTAGTTCATCTTTCGGACGAAAAGGCAACGTAGGCTAACAGACATTATTCAGAAAAAGATCTTAATTCCTTACAAATCATCTCCATCAGAAACATCAACTTGAACTTATTGTCTCAGGCCACGGTCCAGAATCCGCTCTAGAATCGTATCGATAATGAGAGACAGGGGTTGTACATTTGGCCGTAGTTTATGACGATGTTTGTACTTGCTGCACTTCATTTTTTAATGAAAAACGAAGCTTCAAATGAACAAAGCCAGCTTAACCGACGAGGCAGGAAAATCATCAACATCACAACACGTTTTTGTTTACTCACCATGCGCTTATGGCAAATGTCGTAAAATAATCATTTACTTATAGAATCAACAAATGAATGTAAATCGAATTGTGTAAAATATTTTTGAATATGGAATAGAGGTATGAAACTCTTTGTAAACATTAAAAAATTTATATCAATCATCTTTAGCAATATATAATTACGTCAATCTGATTCGAGGCAGATGCGCGACTTCCTGCACAGTGGCGCGAAATTTCGAATTAGGTCTGTTGTCCTTAATTGAGTTAATGCTATCCAAGTTTGACCATAACAGTAAACACCTTAACTTAGTTAACAATATCTAAGTCAAACCTTATCACTTTTAGTTAGTTATGTACATCTTAGTTGGACCTTACCACCTTAACTTAGTTACTAAATTTTAGTTGGACCTTGCCTCCTCAACAGCCTTAACTTATTAATCTTATTTGAACCTTTTTACCTAAAAAGACTTAACTTAATCTTAATTGGGCCTTACCACCTTAACAGATTAAACTAAATCTTAATTGGACCCTATCACCTTAACTTAATTATATAAATACAACTTATCACCTTAACTTAGTAAACACTATCTTAGTTGGACCTCATCACCTCAACTGAGTTAACTTAAGTCAATCTTAGTGGAATACTAACACCTAAACTTACTTAATTCAATTCAATCTAAAAGGAAAAGTCAACTTAACTTAATTAACTTCAATCCATTTGAAAGGGACATTGTCATCTTACCTGAGTTAAATCCACTACATCTGACAGGGATGAGTCACCTTAACTAAGTAAACTTAACTTCATTCTATTTGAGAGGGATGAACCACCTTAATTCTACCTGAGAGGGACAAAACACCTTAACTGAGTATTCAGCTTACTTCACTCTTTGTAAGGTATTTTCACACTCAGGTCAGACATTCTTGCATCAGAAAACAACAAAGGCAACATTAATAAAAACAGAAAATGCAAAAGTACAATTTTACATGTACCTTGTACAGTATCATATGAATTAGCTGTACTACTAGTATTCTAATATCCCTAGTAACTTAAGTAGACAAGAAAATGTTTTCAAGCTTGAGAAATATTCAAGCTTGGGTGTTTTTATACTAGAAATAAAAGTTGAAAAATATAGTCTGATGTTTACGAAGCCCAAAACAACACAGTTTGTGAAATGCCTAGAACCTGTAGAAATACATTTATAGTGACAGACTCTAGCTCAAAGAGAGGCTGAGGAGGTCATGTGACTTGATGACAGAGATTAACTACAGGGTGTTACTATTTTTAATCCTTTTCTTTGTCAATATAAGTCGAGATACATTAACAGACAATGATCAACCTAAAGAACTATTCTTCTTTGTAAGCCTTGAAATCTTATCTCTAAGGCATTCCCCTGGTTTATCTTTGGGCCCGACATTCTGTGTTGGTTTCTCCTACTGAGGGTAAAGGGAGAAAAATACCTCGCCTCTATTGTGTGAGCTGATTTGATCTGATGTTAGATACCTCAGTCGCTTGTTGTCAGAGGGTCATAAAATTAACCCCCAGAAATAACAATGTGAGTAGGAGAAAGCAAGCATGTCCCAAATCTACACACTAACGGTCAGACAGAATTCCATCTCCCCAAGAAACAACCATTGTTCCTGCCAGATCTGTCAAGCTTTGGGCATTTGTTGACCTTCGACCCCCCTCAGTGACCCTTGATCGACAGATTAGTAAATTCAGTCACTGTATAATAAGATGTTTGTGGGTCTTCATTGACATCTGAGAATCATGGCTCATGCAACAACATTTTTCTCACAAATTATTTACACATGAGCAAATTTTCAGCAACACAAACTACAGAGTTACAATTGAAGGAAAGTATGTTCCCACTTTTCCACAAAATCAATAATATATTTTGTCCTTAAATTTCCAAGAGGAAATGCTAAATTAAATAGAAAGTCATGAACCCTGGTGAACATGAATTCCATGTTACTTATAGATTACTTATGTGTACACTGTACATAATTTGGCAAATTTAAACTTCAGTGCAATCAATGGATATGGAGTTGCTGGCATAATCATAAAAGTGCTACACAAGTCCATGCTAAAAATTGTATTTATGTTTCTTGGTGGTATTCAGGAATTAAAGCGTCAATGTCTGTGCCAAAGCAGCTAAAATATGAAGCCCACTTTCTTAACTTCAGGTACAATATAGCTCTACTTGCATTTTCATGCTTCATTTTAAATGCAAGACTTTTTTTCCGACCAAATATTTTTTATTTTCCCCTAAGAAACCTGGGCTTATTAGCTTGTTTATATCAAAAGAATTCTTTATGTGACTTTTCTGTATTTACAAGCCAAGCTTGGGCAACCTAATTACAGTGCATGACCTACTGTAAAAGCACAAATTATTGTGGGCATTATATTTCATTGATTTGTCATCTAAAAAGGTTTCATGAACATAAAATTTCATTGTTCTGAAATTTAACCAATGCAAAATATAGTCATGGAAAAATTTCTTTTGGGATTTATTTTTCTTCATAATTATTAACAACAAAATAAATGAAATTTAATTCCCACCAATATTTCTGCTTCTGTATTATATCGGTCAATATTAACTCTGATCATACCTCTAATCTTTTTCCCTGCCTGAGATGATGTCACAAACCAAGGACAATCAATTTTATTGTGCATGACCTACTGTAGATTCCTTATTTTTCGGGAGTCATTACTTACAATCATGAATTGGCTCTTCAACGTCAAATCGCGAGAATAATAATTTGCGAATGGATAGTTAATCAAGAGATTTTACATATATTTAAGCACCATAAAAATAAAAGTGAGTAATATTATTTTGAGGGTGGTGTTTCTCTGTGATATTATGATATAATTAATTCCACAAGTATGATTAGGAATCTACAGTATATCTGCCATTTACAAGGCTGATCATACCTCTAAACTTTTTCCCTGCCTGAGATGATGTCCAAAAATGAGGGTGAGGGAAATCTGACGATGAACTGGAGAAGTATCCACTGGCATGTCATCAGACTGAAAAGAACAGTTATACATTTAAAGAATGATGAACAAAATGAACTATGAATAAATGAAATAATAAATCATAACTCAAGCAAATTCTAAATAAAATGAAATAAATACCGTAAATCTGGAAATTTTTATGTCAATTTTATTTTATGAATTCGGGTCAAAATGCTGTTGATTAATTTTTACATTTCAAAATTTTGCGAATAACCACTGCTTTGTTTACATTTCCTTATCGGTGATTTAATTTTAAGAAAAATATTTTTGCGAAGAGAATGAACTCTCAAATTTGCAAATAATTTATCTACAGCAAAAAATTTCAGATTTACGGTATATCAAATTGGAAAAAAAAGTAAATAAAACAAATTAAATAAGCTTCTGTTAATTAAATTGATTTTCTTTTTACTCAATGTACCAAAAAATTACAAATTTTCATGTTGTCTGGGTTTTTTTGTGATTTGAACAAAACATAGTGGTTTGTGAAAAAATAAATTCATGGTTGAAGTAGTGTTAAGAAGTAATACATTTTCAAAATTTGACATTTCTTGGAGAAGAACATAAATCAAACCCACAATAAAATAATGATTTGATTTCACATTAAGTAATGGCAATTCATTATCATATTACAAACAGATACTACTATTTTAATAATGTTATTATAAAAACTAAGTAAGTATGAGATGATTTTAAGAAGAGGCTGAAGGACGGATAACTCTTACAGGACAAACTTACTTTAGACAGCGGTGGAAAATTCAGCAGCCTGTGGTTATGGGCCTTTAACAATTCTATTTCTGTCTATAATCAGAAAATTATAATGTAATCACTTAGTTAAAATGTTATCACACAATAACAATATAATCCCAAAATAACAATGTAATCAGAAAAATTACAATAAATTAAAAAAGTACAATGGAATATTTAAAAGAAACACCAAAGAAATCACCAAAAAATAATGTTATCACTTTATTATTTTGTAATCACTAAAAATAATTAAGGATTTTGTATAATTCAAACAAAAAAACATCAAAATAAATAAAATAATCCTGTGATAAAAATTCCTTTGCCAGATTTGAAACAATTTCTAACTTAGCTGAAGTGATTTAATACTAAAAAGTTAATTCTATCATTAATCATTGCAAAATCTGTATACAAAAATAATGATCATTTTACACAAACTATATAAACCACAAAGGTTTGCCCATATCTATGACTGCCCATGACTTACCATTAGTTCCATACTGTGCCCAGTTGAGGTAATGCCCATAGCTTGGATGCGTTCTAGATTCAACATCATCAGTCGCTTGCCGGTAATGTTGTGCTGAAGGAAGATGCCTGCATACTGGGCAAGGTCACTAGAGTGTCCTATAATAAATGTGAAGGGTCAAGGACACAGTAAACAACAAGGTCACTAGACTTAGATCAGTGAAATGTCCTATGTTATTATAAGGGTCAAGGCGGGCACAAAAATGAAGCAAGGTTAGGCAAAAAAAAATTAATTTCTTGGTTCTCAGGCCCTCCCTCATCTCTTCCAAGGGTGCCTCATTGACCCTTTTTATTGCTAAATCAATAAAATATAAACATCAAATCACCTCCCTCATCATTTATTGAGGTTTTGTACAATGTTAAAAGCTTCCTCATCATGTTTTGGGGGGCAATAAAAAAGAAAAAAAAATGCCTCCCTCTCTCCCTCATCATATTTCTTGAAAAAAGGCCTGATAACCAAGTAATTAACTTTGCATGGCCTTACTAAATGTCCTACATTATAATATGTGAATGGGGCAAGGATTTCATTTATAAATTTCTGAAATTTTAATTAGTTTTAAATGCTCACCATTCTGCATTTGGAGAATCCACTGATACTAAAAGTAATAGTAGATAATTAAGAACATATGCAAAATATTCCAAGGTTGAAATCAATCAAAACATCATCAAGGACAGATATCAATCATTATATATGAGAATTAAAATGACTGTTCTGTTTTGTTAAAATAAACATTTCTCAATTTACTTCGTCGCAATGATACTGTATAGAAAATTAAGATCCAAACATACTTGTAGTCATTATAAATGTAACATGAATTTTGAAGAACCCTCCCCCTTCCTTTTTATTCAAAAAAAAGAAAAAAAACCCTCAAAATATCCCTATCATACATGAACATTTCACAAAATTTTTTTTTCAATTAGTTGATACCATGGTAACTAATGAGGATCAATTAAAACTTACCACGTCTATCTCACTCCATGAATTGACATCATAGGAATCCAAATGCTGTAAATAATCAGAGTATATGTATCTGTTAGTGTAGTTAAAAGGCGTGAAAAAAGGCCCTAGGTGAAAATGTTGTGAATTGTACCTGGCGCATGGAATTTCATAAATTATGACATTAGAATACTTACCACTGGGATACTGCATACAGGAAAATTTTCAACCCCTTTTTATTTTCGCCAGTTTTTGCCATACTCTCATTTGGGTGAATTTAAAATGTGGTTGAATTCAAAATATACACTTGTATAATTTCTTTAATAAATCTACGACTAGGCGAATTTAAAATTGGGCAAAATTGTTTGCAAGAGTGAAAGGGCTAAAATAACATGGGGCAAAAATAACCCTGCATACAGTATTCACAAAAATTCAGTATACACAATATATTTCTACTAAGCAAATATTTCACACAAACATGATTATATAAATAATGTTACATGTATATCCTGCAAACCTAGCAGTCCTATCAAAACATATGACACTACTTGGTGTATATTTACCACAGCTTTGAATTGTTGTTCCAGGGTTTTCTCCCTTTCTAACAATTTAATCTCTCGTTCCATTAGCTCCCTTTCTTTGGCAGTCAAATTACTCTCTGCTCTCTTAAGTCTTTCTATGGTAGCTTGTATTTCTTTTCTGAAATGTATTCATGACCTAATCTGAGTAAGTTAAATTCATTTAAAATTTTTAATAAAGATCAATGTTCTTGAAAAAGCAATGCAACTTATGTTATAAAAAATGTGCAATCATCTAGTAATCAGTTAATCAAGGTTCACTGATACTCTTATAAGAGGAATAACTCCAGCTTGGATAAATTTCTATCATTCCTATATAAATTTTGGTCAAATATTGCCCTCAAAGCTACACTGGAATGGTTTCCATGGTTTGCATATTTATAAATCAGTATATTATTTTGGATAACCATAGGAATTCCAGAAAAAAATGTATATGAATGAGAAGAGGGAGGAGGCACCTTAAGTGAGTAGAGGGAGGAGTCACCTTAGTTGAATACAGGAAGATGGCACCTTAAGTGAGTAGAGGGAGGGGGCACATTAAGTAAGAGGAGGAGGCACTTTAAGTGAGTAGAAGGAGGAGGCACTTTAAGTGAGTAGAGGGAAGAGGCACTTTAAGTGAGTAGAGGGAAGAGGCATCTTATGTGAGTAGAAGGAGGAGGCACCTTAAGTGAGTAGACGGAGGAGGCACCTTAAGTGAGTAGAGGGAAGAGGCATCTTAAGTGAGTAGGGGGATGTGGCACCTTAAGTGAGTAGAAGAAGGAGGCACCTTAAGTGAGTAGAAAAAGGAGGCACCTTAAGTGAGTAGAGGGAGGAGGCACCTAAAAAGAGTAGGAGGAGGAGGCACCTTAAGTGAGTAGAGGGAAGAGGCATCTAAATTGAGTAGAGGGAGGGGCATCTTAAGTGAGTTTTACTGTAAAGTAAATACAAATTCTTACCTCCACACTTCTCTGTGCTCTAGAAAGGAATTTGTCTGATCTGGCAGGGAATCTACAACCAATTAAAACAAGATCAAATTATTCTATTTAAAAAAAATAAGATCCTAAAAAAATACATTGTAAGAGGATATTCTGTTTATATTGAACTCTGGCTGAACATATACTTTTAAAGCAGCATTTAATAGGCCTTTCAACTAATTTTTCAAGTTGCACACATGGTAAAAAAAACATTGTATAGATAGATTTATAGGTACATGAAATTATCAAAAAAGATTATAACTTATGCATACTTTAAATTACATCATTAAAAAGTTTAATCATTTATAATTGACTTTTCCGACGTTACATTTAAGGACAGGTAACTCAGGTGTGAAAAATGACCAACTTACTGCCGATTTATCGGTTATCGTTTATAGGAATGACATACAGGCTGCTTCAGCATTGGTATTGTTATATACACAAAAGGGTTCCTTACATTGTTTTGTACACAAAATGTTTTGACCAAGAGAAAGAGAATGCCTTCACTCTACCTGAAATAACAGGTCAAATGAATGGGGAACAGACTATATTCAATAGATTTAACTCTATTTGACGATTATTATGAAGAAGAAAATTTAATGTCATGTTTTTTGTATTCGCGCTTTTTCGCTTCCTGTGTAAATATGTATATATTTACAAGTAAATGCAACAATTGATCATCTTATTTGTGTTACTAAGCACGAAGGGGAACGACCGAGTATAAAAATTTAAATAGGTTAGAACTGAGAAGGAGGGTCGATTTCACTTTTTATTTTAATTAAAAATTTTAATTATATGCAGTAAACCGGTGTCCGCAAGTATACAGTCAATAAGCTTAACAATGGTGCTTCATTCTAAAACCACTGGATTCTACTGAGAGCAAAAAACACTTGGGAAATGCTAAAAACTGCCTTGCGTGTAAACAGTTAGATACCACGAGCCTGCTCTAAACAAGTTTCAGCAGTGAGTTATCGTTCATAACACCGACCCCTAGCGGCAGTTGAAAGGCCTACATTTAATAAAGATGCAATGAGGTGTAAATTTTTATGGATCATTTTCATTTTTTTTATTTAACTTTGCTCTTTCGAGCTTGGTACACCTATATCATGAAATGACAACATACCATCACTTAACATGGAATGTAATGTCAGGAGGATGTCCTTAAAGTTGGGTCTGAGTTTGGGGTCAGTGTTCCAGCTCTGCCTCATCAACTTGGCAAAACATGGTGGACACGTACTGGGAATAGTTAATCTCTGAAAAATATCTGTATTGATGTAGATTCATTTTGAGAAATAATTTTTATTTCATTTACTAAAAATTTCAGTGATTGAATACAATGTTCAACAAAAAGTATAAAATACTACTGGTGTGTTTAAAGCAATGAATGTATATTGTATAACTTTAAAAACTTAATGTGGTAATTAATAATTTATTCATGCATTAACTTGGATCAATTCTATCATATTTACATGTATTTAGTAAACTTATGTAGTAAACTGTAAAGTCATCAATGTTTGTTTAAGATCAAAGTTCATATACGAGGGTTGTCCCGTAAAATGGTGGACAAGTTGTCAAGTGTGAAAAATAAACATCACTGCGTTTTGAAATGTTCACTATTATTTAATACATATTTTAGTAATATACACAGCAGATTTCAGATAAATATATGCATAAGTAAACAAATTATGAGATTTTATGCCATGTATTGTATCACCTTACGGCGCATGGATTATAACGTCAAAGGGTCTAAAACAACGTCACATTTTATCTTTGCTGAAAATAAAGTTGGATGAGTCCGACTTAAATTTAGGAATTTCATTGATACACATTCTTTCGTCTCCATAAACAGCCGAAGAACCAATTGGCACCCTCATGCGATCTTCTGAGGATTTATTAGTAAGTAACGGACAATATCCTCGACATCATTCAACTAATAGAAAATCTCATATATCGGCGGTCTACTGTGACAGCGTCTTTTACTATTACATTAGGAGTTTGTCTGTATGTTTTGTACTACCCAGGGAATTGATCAAAATAAAACTTCATTAAGAAAACTCCTATTTCATTTGTATAATTAAGATATGGTGATATTTTTATAATCTTTTTTTCTTCTATGGTCATTTCAAGTCTCTAAAGGTGTCATTACAACATCGAAATAAAACTGTACTGTTCTCCGGTGTGCCGTAACGTCATAAAACGTCGCCATTTTTCGTGTGTTGTGTTTACCACTTTCCCATTACGAATGCTCGAGAAACTGCCAAAATTAAGCAAATGCCTTAAAATTTTTACAAAGACTACAAAATTGATTGTGGAATTGTTTAGGATAATTTTGATCCGAATCTTATGTATTTAAATACTTTTATTTTGAATTCAAATTTGTGTATTCTTTAACAAAACCTTGGTTTTTTGACCGTGCGCCGTAGGACAATACCTCGTGCACATTCAAGCATAATAAAATCTTTATTTTTGCCTATATTTTATAAAAAAAAATATCATGCACTTAAATATAATAAATAAACATTTACTGAATTTTTCAGCTTAGTGCGTCCATTACTTTTCGAGAAATACACTTTGTCCACGATTTTACGGGACAACCCTCGTATTACATGGGTCACCTTTATCAATGAATTTACATCCCATCAAAAAATTATTTTGACAACTTATTTACACATTAAATCTTTTATATACACAAGCTACCCACAAAATTATGTCCCCTAAAACCAGCAAAGTTTTGCTTGCCAATGAACATTGACCCTGAATTATGATGATTCCACCGTATGTTAGTTGCCCCAAATTTACCTCCCCTTTCTCCACGACCAGCCAGGCCACTTGGAACCCCTTGATGCCCCTGTATGGCACCTCATGTGTCAGTAGTTCCCACAACACCTGCAATTACGTCTCTCATTTCTCAGAACCAGTTATTTCAAAATTACAAGCATGTATCTTGCAAACATGTATCTAGATTTTTGCTATGTTTATCAAAATCACAATGAGTACACTATTAATAAGTAAAATAAAAAACAATTTTATATATCATTGACTTTGGAAATTTTTAAAGAGTTAATGTGCCTTGTCTTAAAATTTGTTTTACCCTGTAATTAAAAGCAAATGTGTATCATAATACATTACTTTCCTCAAGTTAGGATAAATTTTTTTTTTATTTTCATCTCCTCACAAATATCCTATTTTTCTCATTATGCCCCCCCTCCGGTACAGTAATCCTTACCATGCCATAGGACCAGGTATCACAGGATTCTGAGACAGGTAAACTCTGTATCACCTGTAACAAGAGGCCCAAGGGCCTTGAATCGCTCTTCTGATAAATTGTACAATCTATCACTTCTATTTAAAGCCTCTAACCCTGAGTATCCTAAGACCCAAGTTGCATCAACTGACAAAGTTTGATGATTCTTAGCAAATTAGGACTGAAAATATTTTTAATGATAAAGCTATAAAAACCATAAGTACATCACGGTAACCTATATTAAGATTGAAGTTTTCTGAGGACTCAATATGCATTAATAATCAAAGATTGAAGATTCTAAGCCAATAAGTATTTGAGATATTTAAAAGTAGGTCACCGTGACCTACTTTTTTGTCTACGTTCTTTGAAAACCCGAGATACATTCTCTAACAACCAAATATGCATCAACAAACAAATTTTAGTAATTCTAAACCAGTTATTACCATAGATACTTAAATAAAGCCATAAAATGTCAAAAAATTAGGTCAACATGACCTACTTTTTGGACATCATTCTCGAAAAAACCCAAGATACATCAACTTACAAAGTTTGATGATTCTGAGCCAATAAGTACTGTAGACACTTAAAAAAAACCATAAAATGTTAAAAGTAGGTCACCGTGACCTACTTTTTGGTCGTCACTCTCTGAAAACCCGAGATGCATCATCTCACAAAGTTTGATGATTCTAAGCCAATAAATACCTAATATATTTAAATAAAGCCATAAAATGTAAAAAGTAGGTCACTGTGACCTACTTTTTGGTTGTCACTCTCTGCAAACCCAAGACGCATCAACTCATAAAGTTTGATGATTCTAAGCCAATAATTACCATAGGTATTTAAATAAAGCCATAAAATGTCAAAAGTAGGTCACCATGACCTACTTTTTGGACATCATTCTCTGAAAACCCAAGATGCATCAACTTACAAAGTTTGATGATTCTGAGCCAATAAGTACTGTAGATACTTAAAAAAAAACTATAAAATGTTAAAAGTAGGTCACTGTGACCTAATTTTTGGTCATCACTCTCCGAAAACCTAAGAAGCATCAACTCATAAAGTTTGATGATTCTAAGCCAATAATACCATAGATATTTAAATCAAGCCATAAAATGTCAAAAGTAGGTCACCATGACCTACTTTTTGGACATCATTCTCCGAAAACCCAAGATGCATCAACTTACAAAGTTTGATGATTCTGAGTCAATAAGTACTGTAGATACTTAAAAAAAACTATAAAATGTTTAAAGTAGGTCACTGTGACCTAATTTTTGGTCATCACTCTCCGAAAACCTAAGAAGCATCAACTCATAAAGTTTGATGATTCTAAGCCAATAATTACCATAGATATTTAAATTAAGCCATAAAATGTCAAAAGTAGGTCACAATGACTACTTTTTTTGACATCATTCTCTGAAAACCCAAGATGCATCAACTTACAAAGTTTGATGATTCTGAGCCAATAAGTATTGTACATACTTAAAAAAAACTATAAAATGTTAAAAGTAGGTCACTGTGACCTACTTTTTGGTCATCACTCTCCGAAAACCTAAGAAGCATCAACTCATAAAGTTTGATGATTCTAAGCCAATAATTACCATAGATATTTAAATAAAGCCATAAAATGTTAAAAGTAGGTCACCATGACCTACTTTTTGGACATCATTCTCCGAAAACCCAAGATGCATCAACTTACAAAGTTTGATGATTCTGAGCCAATAAGTACTGTAGATACTTAAAAAAAACTATAAAATGTTAAAAGTAGGTCACTGTGACCTACTTTTTGGTCATCACTCTCCGAAAACCTAAGAAGCATCATCTCACAAAGTTTGATGATTCTAAGCCAATAAATACCTAATATACTTAAATAAAGCCATAAAATGTAAAAAGTAGGTCACTGTGACCTACATTTTGGTTGTCATTTTCCGAAAACCCAAGATGCAACTCATAAAGTTTGATTATTCTAAGCCAATAATTACTGTAGATATTTAAATAAAGCCATAAAATGTCAAAAGTAGGTCACCGTGACCTACTTTTTGTTCGTTATTCTCAGAAAACCCAAGATGCATCATCTCACAAAGTTTGATGATTCTAAGCCAAAAAATAGCTAATATATTTAAATAAAGCCAAAAAATGTAAAAAGTAGGTCACTATGACCTACTTTTTGGTTGTCACTCTCCGAAAACCCAAGACGAATCAACTCATAAAGTTTGATGATTCTAAGCCAATAATTACCATAGATATTTAAATAAAGCCATAAAATGTCAAATGTAGGTCACCGTGACCTACTTTTTGTTCGTTACTCACCGATAACCCAAGATGCATCAACTCACAAAGTTTGATGATTCTAAGCCAAAAAATACCTAAGATACTAAAATATTACCATAAAATGTTGAAACTAGGTCATCGAGACCTATATTTTGGTTAAAAATTTTTAAGTCACAAGATGCATCTGCTGACCAAGTTTGATGATCCTACGTCTAAAGGTAATCAAAATAAGCCTTTTAAACAATTCAAAAACAAATTCCTGCAAAATACAAAAAGTAGGTCACAGTGACCTACTTTTTCATAAAAATGTTTTAAGGTCTCAAGATGCATCAATTTACAAGATTTGATGATTCTAAACCTCTCAGTGTCTGAAATAATTGGATTAATTGTTTTAAAAAGAATTAGTCATTAAGTTCAAAAAGTAGGTCACGGTGACCTACGTTTAAGTTGACGTTGTTTAAGGACCCAAGATGCATCAACTGACAAAGTTTGATGATCATAGGCCTTAAAGTACCCGAAATATACCTTCAAATCAATTTGAAAACAAATGCTTACAAAATTTAAAAAGTAGGTCACCGTGACCTACTTTTGAGTTAACATGATGTGAAGTCCTGAGATGCATCAACTTACAAGATTTGATGATCCTAGACCTAATAGTAAGCAAAATATAAACGTTTTCATTAATTGTAAATTTAGGTCAACTTTGAAGTGACCTTGAGACCACTCCCTTTGCCCCAGGGTCATGCCTTGAACAATTTTTAATCTTCAACATATCCTGATCCTTGTACGCAAGTTTGGTGAAAATCTGCTTGGTGGTTCTGGAGAACAAGATTTTTTTGCAACCAGTACTTTTGGTTTTGTTTTCCTGATTATCTCCCCTTGTTTTAGGGTCCCAACCCTTATTTTAGTGTATATGGTAGCCCTTGGGCCAAGGATACCCTGTGACAAATTTGAAACAGATTGGCCAAAGGGTTCTTGAGTTATGGCCCATATTCTGAAAAGTTAACGCACACCGCACACCGCACACCGCACGCACACCGCACACCGCACAAATGGCCATAGCATTAGCTCTTTGAGCCTTTGGCTCAGAAGAGCTAAAAACAAAACCACACAGACTACACAGTTTGTAAATAAAACACATGTAAGGTGCACTATCATTGTCACTTGGACTTCCAGTGCAGCATTAGTTCCAAGTTACATGCATATCAAAACAGAAAATACTGTATGTGGAAACCTTTAAGACACAAATTTAGTGATTTGTTCTTTAAAATTGGCATTTTATTTTTACTGAGATGTAATTTTACCGATTTTAAAAAGCTTAATTAAGATGCTTTTACAAATAAAGCTCAATTAATTTTTTATCTATATTTAATTTTAGCTATCTAGGCACCCATGCTAACAATGCCAAAATTAAATCCTCGCTAAAATTTCTGCTTATACGGTATTACAGGATATTATGGGTTTTGAGGGACAACTCAATGTAGTAACCATACAATCATGTAAATGTTTAAATTCTAAGACAACACCATCTTTGATGATACAACTTAAATCTAGGGGTGTGCAATATTACCGGTATATCGGTATATTGCGGTATTATCCACCACGATAATATATCGGGATATGAAAATCAGATACCAGTATTTCACGATATTTATAAAAATATATAAAAACCTCCTTCATTGTAGAAACTGTTAAAATAAAACTGGAAACTTCTAAGTCTTTTTTCTTTTTCGTTGAAGAATTCTTCGTCAGTTTCGTTCGGGAGAGAGAAAGAGAGAGGAGAGAGAGAGGGGGGGTGGAAGCTTTGAAGTTTGAATTCACTGTTGCAGTTGTGAATATCTTACTTTGAAATAAAAGTACTAATTAATAAGATTTTAAAATAAAATTTATAAGGAAGAAAATATATAAAACATTTTTACAGGGTGTATACCATATGCATTGCGGTTCTCAAAATCTCACATTGAATCTACACGATCGACATCGCGGTGAAATGTCAAGTTAAATATACATGTACATATTACAAGTAAATGGTCATCCATGTTTTCACTTGTAGCAGTGTTGTTATACCCCCCGCTTGAAAAGCGGGAGGGTATATAGTAATCGGTATTTCCGTCCGTCTGTACGTCTGTCCGTCCGTCCGTCCGTCTGTTACGCTTTGGGGTACCCATCTCTTATCCGCAACTCCTCTCATACCACTGAAGGAAATTTAATGAAACTTTCACAGAAGCTTTATTACATATGGCCATTGTGCACCTCCTATTTTACTTTTTGATCTGACATATATTTTTGATATTCCAGAGCAAAATATGGACACTGCCAATATATTCATATGGGAGGCGGGGGGTATCATTTAGTGAGCTCATCGCTCACAGTACCTCTAGTTTTAATTATTTTTAATAACTTTCATGCCATTTTAAACACCTTATGCTATAGCAGGAGCATGTATGTATTAAAACAGGCCATTTCCTGATTGTACGTCTTGATGTGAAATTAGGTCGGGTTAGACTAAATTACCAAAACGCACGAAAACAGGTCACAATTTCTTTCTGTTTTTTTAAATTTTATTTTGTAACCACACGAAAATTATTTTCATATAGGCCTAATCTGT